AGTCTAAGCAGCGACAGAACTACGAGAAAATATGTACACACACAAGCAGGGAAGCAATAAGAACTTACCTAGCAACCCCACTATGTACTCAGATCTCAGACTGCATTCATTTCTTAAAGGTATAGGCACAGTTTCTATTATTTGGGCTTTTTCTTTAAACCCCCCCCCCCCCCCGTGTATCATTTTTCAGATTTCAGATTTTTCTGCAAACCTGGGGCCTTACTCAAGTTGTCTCTCCAGTCTCTGAATTTCAGTGCCCACAGATAAGAATTAGGTCTATTGATCACACAGTGTAAGCAGATCATGAGAGGGAGGGCGGGAAAGGTTGCATCAGTACTTTGTTCTTGTGGCCCTTTCTTACACACCCAGGGAAATGCTGATCGTCACATTGGGGTCAGGAAGCAATTTTTCTCCGGACCAGTTTGGCTGGAGATCCTGGAGGTTTTTTGTCAACTTCTGGGCGTGGAGCAGTGGTGACTAGGGGTGTGTTGTGAGGAGGTATTTGTGAATTTCCTGCATTGTGCAGGGGGTTGGACTAGATGACCCTGGCGATACCATTCCAACTATGATTCATTGATCTGGGAATACAGAGAAGCAAGAAGGGAGGAGGAGGAGGAGATTGGATTTATACCCCGCCCTTCACTTGGAGTCTCAGAGTGGCTTACAATCTCCTTTCCCTTCCCCTCCCCACAACAGACACCCTGTGAGGCAGGTGGGGCTGAGAGAGCTCTGAGCGAACTGCTCTTTCAAGAACAGCTCTGAGAGAACTATGGCTTGCCCAAAGTCATCCAGCAGCTGGAAGTGGAGGAGTGGGGAATCGAACCCAGTTCTCCCCATGCATCATTTTTTTTAATGGGGCAGGGACTTGAGTATATCGTTGATAACAGCTGTTATTTTAAATTTTGGATCCCAACTGGAGAGAAAGGCAGAGTATAAATGAAATAAACAAATAAAACGATAAGCTGTATTGTGAATAGCTTAAAATAGGTACAGGCCTATTTATGCGAAGCAATGCACGCAAAACATTCTGGGTTGGATCCACTGCAGAAAAGGCAATTTGCACCAGAAGTTCCCCCTCCCTATGCAGGCCACTGAGCTTCTTAAAGCGCTCCTCCTAGATGACAGGAAACCCTCAAACACCACCATGAGGCAAAACTGGGGTCAGCAGTGAGAGGAGAAGGGATATATATCACCCGTCCCACTCCTGGGGAAGGACCCTGACCACTTATTAGCTCTACTTTTCAGCTGAAGAGTCCCCAAGGCAGCTCTTGACTTGAGACATACATCCATACTTTGTCTGTTTAAAACAAAACGCAAGACACACATTTTAAATGGCAAACTTCACAAACCATTGATGTTTTCACCGACACATCACACTTTTATTTTGTTCTTCAATATCCATACTCAAGTTTGAGAACTTGCCTTCATGAGGAGGAGGAGGAGGAGGAGATTGGATTTATACCCCACTCTTCACTTGGAGTCTCAAGAGCAGTTTACAATCTCCTTCCCTTCCTCTTCTCTTCTGAGCCTTCGGGGAGGGCGGGATACAAATCTAAAGAATAAATAAATAAATAAATATTCTCACAACAGACACCCTGTGAAGTAGGGTGAGGCTGAGAGAGCGCTCTCAAGAACTGCTCTCAAGAACAGCTCTGAAAGAACTTGTGACTGACCCAAGGTCACACCAACGGCTGAATGTGGAAGCGTGGGGAATCAAACCCTGTTCTCCCAGATTAGCATCCGCACTCCTAACCACTAGGAGTGAACCTTAAGGGAGTTATGTAACCTTAAGGGAGTTATGGGATGGTTGTGAATGGTTGTGTGAGTGTATATGAGTATGGTTGTAGATCACCAAATGATTGCATCTTAATTTCGTTGTACTATGTACAATGACAATAAAGTATATTATTATTATTATTATTATTATTATTATTATTATTATTATTATTATTATTATAATATAAACCACTACACCTAACAGTTAGGATTGATCATCTGACGAATTAAAAGAAAACAATTTGGTCAACTGGTCAAATGTTACTTATTGGTAATTATTAATGACCAAACATAGAAGGGGGGGAAAAGATCCTTTCAATCACTTAACATTAATTAACAAGAACAAACCTTAATTGTTGAGAATGAATGACATTTTAAAAAAAATGGGACTGAATGATAACATATTAACATTTCTACAAAGATGTGCGGAGCATTGGCAGCTTCTGGATTTCCTCTGGGCAGTCAGCCTGTCAACTGCAAAACATATATTTTTAATGGATTTAAGACATAAATCAAGCAAACTAAAACAATTTTTTTAAATAAATTGTGCTAGGAAGGCAGCTGGCCGGTTCTTGCTCTTCAGACGTCCCTCCAGTTAGAGCTGAAGGCCAGCAGATCAGCTATACAGATGGGCTACTCATGGAGAGCGACAGAGCTGTGGATTCAGCTGCCCTCATTCAGGGCCTTGCTAACAGACGACACCATTCACAAAATGAAAGAGTAAGCCTGCTACCTCCACAACTAGGGTTGCCAAGTCGAAAAATGTACTTACCCGGGGATCTCCCAGTCCGCGGCCATAGAGTTTTCCCTCGGATTACCGTGGCCCCGCCCCTAGCGTGCCCGGCGTCATAATATCACTTCCTGGTGATGCACACGCCGGGGTGGGGTTCCCCCCCGGGGCCCGATCCGCCGCCGGCGGGGAACGGGCCTCTGGGGCGGGGATTTCCCCGCCCCCCAGGGGGACTTGGGAAGCCTATTCACAACAGTATTTCTTCAAATGTGCAATGGTGGTCAAAGCACTGCACAATCGATATTTGATGGGTCCACCGGCTGGTGTGCCAACGAGTCGATCTGTAACCTCCTAAAATAACCCTGTGTTGACTTGCAACAAACTACGGGGATGTGCTTTGGCAGGGTTTCATTCCGTGCCATTTGTCTGGGGAACACAAAAACACAGAAATCAGGCCTGGGCCATTCACAGATTGCTTGGGAAGGAAGTCACGATGAGCTGAGAGAGAGACAGGGCATCTTAGTTGCCGTTAGCAGGCAGCGCAGGAAGACTGACTTCCCTGGCTGCGTGTTCTGTGGTTTCACAGAAGGGCAGTTGGATGTCTGAAATGTAGAATCCGGTTTTGTAATCTTGGGTTGTGTTTTCAAATTAGATGTAGAAACTTTATGGCTGCAAAAATAAGGGGGCAATACGCCATGGCAGGTGCAACCAGCCTATCAAAGTCTATCAGTGGCCACTAGCTATGGTGGCTGAGGGGGAACTTCCATGTTCAAACGCACTAATCCTCTGAATTCCAGAGCCAGGAGGCAACATTCGGGAAGGCCTCGGCCTCTATGATCTGTTGTTGGCTGTCCAGAGGAACTGGTTGGCCACTGTGTGACATCAATACAAAGTGAAATGCTGCATAAGTTCACACAAAGAAATTAATGCTGAAATCCAACTTCCATGTTGTTTATAATTCTTGTATTTCAACAGGTGGACATCATCCAGACACCAGGGTGTCGACAAGATGTACAGAACGGGACGAACTTCTCGAGTTTTGCCGTTCGTTTCGAGAACAATCTTTATCAAACTTCAATTTCCAGTGGTCCTTTCACAGTCTAATTCACCACTAAGGTATCCAAACATTCAGGAAGGCTTCTAACAGCTCTTATCACCAACAATTATTATTTCACTATAGACAGTATGGCTGCAAAAATAAGGGGGCAATACGCCATGGCAGGTGCAACCAGCCTATCAAAGTCTATCAGTGGCCACTAGCTATGGTGGCTGAGGGGGAACTTCCATGTTCAAACGCACTAATCCTCTGAATCCCAGAGCCAGGAGGCAACATTCGGGAAGGCCTCGGCCTCTATGATCTGTTGTTGGCTGTCCAGAGGAACTGGTTGGCCACTGTGTGAGACAGGATGCTGGACTAGAAGGACCCCTGGTCTGATCTAGTAGGGCTCTTCTTACTCTGCAGAGGAACCACCTCTGCTTCTCAGCACAGACAAAAGAAAATACTACTTTACACAGAGAGTAATTAAAGTGTGGAATCTGCTGCCAAAGAATGTAGTGGTGGCCACAGGAATCAACAACTTTAAAAGGGGACGAGATCGATTCATGGAGGATAAGTCTATCAATGGCTACAAGCCATGGGGACTGAGGAGAACCTCCACATTCAGAGGCACAAATCCTCTGAATCCCTGAGCCAGGAGGCAACATCAGGGGAAGGCCTTGGCCTCTATGTTCTATCGTTGGCCGTCCAGAGGAACTGGTTGCCCACTGTGGGACAGGATGCCGGACTAGATGGACCACTGGTCTGATCCAGCAGGGCTCTTCTTATGTTCTTGACCGACACCCTTCCCTCCCCCCGTTTCATGAAGGGCTGCAAAATATGTGCATTTGCTTAGCGTGGATAATTTATGAGGGGACTTCCACTTAGCATTTCTTAGTACATGCTTTTGATTAAGTGCACAGCGCACACAGCCATGATTACAGTTGCCAGCATTGCAGGGAAGTTCTATAAATGTTTAAAACAGTCCCTCAGACACAGTGAAATAGGTCAAGGTGGTCATCTTCTTCCTTTGAATCCATTAGGATAGGCAGCCACTGATAATGCCTCCAAAGCAACAGAATAGGGATAATCACAGTAAAGCAAAATTTTAAGACAGGACCACATTGTCACTCTCAAAGCCTACGAGTTCAGAAATCTGCTCTGAAAAAGGAGAAGTCTGACTACAGCAGAGAGTAGAGAAATTAAGATTTCCTCTAATCCTCACTGTCTGACTCAGAGGGTATTTCCACAACCGACAGGAAAACATCATTTGGCGCACATGTGGTCCACATCTCTCATTAGCAGACAAGTCCAAAAATACTTTTTTTAAAAAAGAAAAGAAAAGAAAGAAATCTATCAGATCCGACTCTCTTGAATTAAAGGCCACTGGCCTTAAGCCATCTTTTCAGTCAAGAAAGGCCAAAAACGACAGCGTCGCACTCAAGAGTCTTAACTGGACGTGTTTTTTATTTTTTACACCACGATGTGAGAACGTAACACCTTGTTTTAATAAAAGTATACACATTTCGTAACTTCACTCAGAATACACTTTTAATGCACATTTAAAAAAGCGCTCATCTTACAAATCGTTTTGCAATCCAAATATACAATAGCTTGGAAAACAAATAAGTTTAGAAAATGAATGCCAAATGTAAAAAGACTACTTAAACCTATAACAGTAGAGTTCCGGTACGCCTCTGCCTTTTACAGTTTTCTTACTGCGTCGTCAATGTCGGAAATCTGTTCCTTCAACTGGCTCCACTGCTCTGGATTTAAGGAGATACCTGAAACGGAAACAAGCCCTTATTTACAGAGCACCTGCTTGCCGCACATCAGGGCCCGGACTGAGCCCCCCCCAGCCTCTCCCATTAAAAGGAACTCAGGCAGCTGATCTTGGGAAAGATCTTTTTCTTCCCCGAGCCCTTGAGAACAGCTGCTAGTGGAAGCGGACCAATAGCATAAACCAGCTTCATGTACGTTCAATGGCTGAATTTGTCACTGGGCACAGAATTCAGCAGCCTGAGACCCTCTACTCCAAGGGTGTCAAACCTAAGGCCCAGAGACCAGAACTGGCCCATCCAGGGCTCTTATGCAGCACCGTGAGCAACCAGTGCAAGGGAGGGTACAGGATGGGCATGGTGGAACCACCTTGCCTGCAGCAGTCAAGCAGCGTGGGAGCGTCTGCCCAGTGCTGCAAAGCTGGCTCTCCATATGGGTTTTCCTTTGCACCCCCCTCCCAGCCCATGGGGCCTTGCAGTGAGAATACAACTCAGAGCTTACCAACTGTTGTCCTTGATACAGTTTGTATCTCCGGTACTCTGCATTACGTTTTACGGTACACATGGCCCAGCCCGACAAAGTGACATTTATGTCAGATCCGGCCCTCGTAACAAATGAGTTCGACACCTCTGCTCTACTCCATTTTTTAAAAAAAAGACCAGTGTTTCCCATCCTTCAATAAGCAAAGGTAAGCCTGAACGTGTCCCAGTAATTCCTGATGAAATCTACCTAGTACTTTTTGTCCCCCTGATGTCCCAAGGTGCTCAGAGAAGCAGTCATGGTTCTCCCTGCCTTGTTTTATGGGAGGAGGAGGGCCTTAAAGCTGCCATCGGACTCTAAATTTGTCGTACTGCTTCAGACCAACACGGCTGACCAACTGGATCTAATCTCAGAAGAGAACTCTCCATAAATCTGCTGTGTGATGCAATTCCATGCAGCAATAGTTTCTCAGAGAAGTAACAATCACAAACTGCAATAAATGCCTACACTAACCAAAGTCTCCAGAGGTCTTCAATCGCACACATCATGAACCCCTTAAAGTGAAATTAACCAAAAAATTAAACACCACCACAATGTATCCAAACTACAGAAAAAAATGTATAGTCAATATTTTGATTCAAGCCTTGAGAAGACATAAGACTGCATTTTCTTTGAAAAAGCTGGGGTCTGAAATGAGACAACTAATTAGCTAACACGCTCGTTGGAGGGAAATGCTTCATCAATTCCTGATTCTACTTTGAATCATCTCTTGTGGATCTTGCATCTGGACAAGCGTTGCCCGTTTCATCCATTGGACTTTGATGTATATGGATAATGGCGTTTGCACCTGATATGGACGTATGAAATTGATGTCTTTGTGATTGTACTAACATATAACCACTGCACAGTGGGATTGTACATTCTTGATTCAACAGAGGTTATTTTCTATACTATTATACACAGTTGTGTTCAATTAAAATGATAACCTCCTGTGTCTGGACTAGGCACCTAAAATTACTAGTGCCTGAAAAGCATGACTACCAAATAAGCGTCAGGGTCTATGTCCAACATTCTCACTTCTATCTTTGTAGTAGACACATTAAGCATAAATAAGCACAGGGGGAACACTCGACTGCATTAAATGGGCATGAGTGTGTGTCAGTAAACTGCCATTTGTACTCTGGGTATGTTCTGTGTAACCTGCCTACTGTATGATGGGGGTTGGGGGGTGGGACTAGCCTGCATTTCTCTGTTCATATCCTCCCAGTGCCGCTTTGCCATTTGTTTTGGCTTTGGAATGTTGTGCTGCCTTTGTAGTTGATAAGACTGTGAGAACTGCTGCTGGAGCCGTTCCCAATTTGGCTGGTGTGAATCAAACAGCTGGAAGCTATCTCCCGCCTGCTCAAATGCCTGCTGAGCACAAACTGTATTCATTGGTCAACCCTGTTTGTTTGAACTGTCCATATCTGTCCATGCTTGGCTTTGAGTTTCATTCCTGACAATGACCATAGAACTGTATCAATAGTGACTTGTAATAAAGCAACCTATTCTTATGAATCGTTGTGGACTGCAACTGCTCTATTGAACCTGACAGTGTGTAACCACAGTTAAGAGTAACCAAGCACAAAAGGGGAAGGAGGTTACTGCTTGTTACAGTAGAGAGAGACATGACACCTGCCAGAACTCTTCCTCCCATACAACCAACAAAGGTACAGGATTCCCTCCACCGCAGGTGGTCACCACCTTTCAGTGTCTCATATTTAGACACAAGGAAGACGTACCTGGAAGTGCAACAAAAACTGTGCTTTATATGAACACACAATCATCATGCAACCAAATTACCTTTTCTGCCTGGTTTCATTTCACCTTCTTGATCCATCCAGTATTCTCTAATATCAATTAGGACTTTGCCTTTAAAATCACGCACGCTGACGTATCTCATTTTACCAATCTGCCAATAAATCAGAGAACTGAAATCATTATTTTGACAGACGCAAATCCCTACCCATTTCAGGGACTATTAAGGCCTCACAGACAAAGCAATGCTGGTCTGTATTTTATTTCTGAGAGTGAGATTACAGGATAAAGCGCTTCCCTCCGCAGTGAAGTCTCTCACAAGCAAACAAGAAATGACAGCCCTGAAGGACAGGTGAGTTCCAAATCCAGCTCTTTCATCCAAAGCCCAAATCAGACTGAATTACTGCCTTCGCAGAACCACGGATCTTTCCCTTCTGTGGTAGCAAGGTCAGAGGATACGGAGATAGTGCCCCAAAGGGAATCTAAAGGTAAAGGTTCCCTTGCTCGAAAGCCAGTCGAATCCGACTCTAGGGTTGCGGTGCTCATCTCCGTTTCTAAGCCGAAGAACCAGCGCTGTCCGAAGACTTTTCCGTGGTCATGTGGCCGGCATGACTAAACACCAAGGCACACGGAACGCTGTTACCTTCCCACCGAAGTGGTCCCTATTTATCTACTTGCCATTTCTTGCTTTCGAACTGCTAGGTTGGCAGGAGCTGGAACTAGAGACGGGAGCTCACTCCGTCATGCGGCACACCCGGGTCTTGAACTGCTGAACTACCGACCTTCCACAGCCTGCAGTTCAGCGTCTTAACCACTTGAGCCACGGCAGCTCCACAAAGGGAATCTACGACCAACCATTTTAGTCCTTGACCAATGAAGACAAAAACCACTCAACCTCTGCCTTCAGAAATACGAATGCAAACTTAAATTCAAAATTAACACTTGAATATACAAGTCTGATAAATGCTGGTCTTCAAAACCTTGACTGGTGGTAGACCATGACCTAAATCGTAGAGAAGTTAAAGACCCAAATTAGCCTGAGTACTGTAAGTTGTGCAGAAATTTAGCAAGCAACTATCATGTACCAAGATCACTGGCAAATGTTGCTTTTCAAATGCCCAAGGTAAAGGCTACCAAAGAGATGTCGTTTGTCGGCAGCCAGGAACAGAGCAGACCTATCAATTATTTAGAAATGGGATGCTGTATAGAAAGAAATAGGGACAAGTGGCGTGAACAATAAGAGAGGGATAGGTTCTGCCTAACTGCCCAAGCTTAGTAATTTGGGTAGTCCTCAAACCTATGTTTAGAACAGCAGCATCAAACTAAAATGTGAGTAGTTTGGAGATTACAGTATGCAGAAAGTACCCGTGAGAGAAAAAGCCCCACATCCTGAAACCATTAATGTAGGAAATGGTGGCATTCACAGGATGCTGGTGTTAGAAAAATTAAGAGCTGATACTTCTTCGTAAGCCTAGCTGTTGAAACAAGTACAATAAGAATATGAACCATTTAAAAAAATGAGCTGGCTTTAGATTAAAGCGTTCTTGCAGACTGGTGGGGAGTCATTCTGATCTGGCAACCCTAAAAAGGTCTACTCAAGATCAGTGTTCCCTCTAAGCTGAGTTAGTGTGAGCTAGCTCACAGTTTTTTTAGCCTCTGGCTCGCACATTTTTGTCTCAGCTCAGGAAGGATGGCTCCAGAGCAAAGTAATTTATGCAGCAGCCAAACCACCTGCTCACAACTTCAATGCCGGTAGCTCAGAAAGTAGAATTTTTGCTCACAAGACTCCACAGCTTAGAGGGAGCATTGCTCAAGATCCTACCGAAGTCAACTGAAGGGGGCTTATCGCAGGAAAGTGTTTTTAGGGTTGCTCTGTACATCTCCATTTTGCAGTTAAGCATGGCCTAATTTGTTCCAAGACCTATTAACCAACCCCTCCAACACCACTGCAACACTGAACACTGGATAAAACACCTTCCACCGGGATTATGTATCATACGATCATGGTAACTGTGGGAATTTCTAGCACTGAAGAAGATCTCACAATCATTTGAACAGATTATCTGCTATAGACAATGTGCAGTCTTAACACAATGTGTACGGCGAGGAAGCCATTGCGACTTCTGGACTGCTCCTTTCACACTGACCTCTTACATGTGCTTCACACTCTGTGCTTGTGAAAAGCCACACCAATGGAGCCCCAGCCCCGCCCCCCCATATGAACATTCCTGTCTGCAGCAACATCCCCTTGTTCCTGGTCTTTTTCTAAACACAGCCGCTTCCAGCATCTCCCCCCCACACACACTTCTTTTGCTTCGAAGCTTTGCTCTTTCATAGCCAGCATTCGCAGCTACTCTTGGGGTGGCCCATGTGTGCTAAAACCCTGAAGTAAGATGCGGTTAAGGTAGCTGTCCAAAGGAGAACTGTGCTGCCAACAGAAAACACATTTTTGATTGAGCTACCCAAGGGGCCGAGTAACAGCCCGGACACTCAGCATTCATACAGCATTCTAAATGCAAGTCGCTTCATATTATGCTCTCAGCAATCCTTGCCATTGTATCATCATATTGCAGATGGAAGCTAACAATAACTGGCATATGGAGAGAGTGGGGGGGGGGAGAGGCACTGTGGCCCAGCAGCAGAGCATCTGCTTTGCATGCTGAAGGTCCCCAGGTTCAATCCCTGGCATCGCCAGTTAAGAGGTTTGGAGGTTTTCAAACAGAGGCCAGATGGCCATCTGACAGCAATGCCGATTCTGTGAACTTAGGCCGATCATGAGAGGGAAGGCAGGAAGGATTGCCTCAGTGCTTAGTTCTTGTGGCCCTTTCTTACACACCCAGGGGAATGCTGATCACCACTCTGGGGTCAGGGAGCAGTTTTTCGCCAGGCCAGTTTGGCTGGAGATCCTGGAGGTTTTCTGTCATCTTCTGGGCGTGGAACAGGGGTCACTGGGTGTGTGTGGAGGGGGAGGTATTTGTGAATTTCCTTTCTTTTTTTCTTTCTTTCTTTCTTTTTTTTTTTGAAGCCCCCAAAGGGGGATTTATTTTTTATTTTTTTTAACAACTACCAAAACTACTACAGAAAAACAGGGAGGGGACTACATATACGGGATAAAGAAAAAGAAACCCACATCTAACTAAAACCCCAAGAAAGAAGATCTTCATTAGCTAAGTTACATTTAGCCTTCTTCTCTATTTAGCACTGAACGCACTGAGTCATTGTTAACAATATCTTTTCTTTTCTATATTTTCCTCCCCTCCCTGTCTAGCCACAAAAACCCCTCCCCAGCCATCACTCCTCATCATCTTCTCAGGCACAATTCAGAGTCCTTCAGCCTTTTTACTTCTCTCTTTCACGCCTTTTCCGAAGTTTGTAAGGACTCTTTGGGGCAGCTGCCCCCTTTTTATCCAGTGAGTCCTCTCCGGAAGAGTCAGAGTCCAGCGAGTGGTATTTGTGAATTTCCTGCACTGTGCAGGAGGTTGGACTAGATGACCCTGGGGGTCCCTTCCAACTCTACGATTCTATGTGAAAGACCTCTGCCTGAGACCCTGGAGAGCCGCTGCCAGTTTGAGCGGACAGCGCTGACCTTGATGGACCTTCGTCTGATTCGGGATTAAGGCCGCTTCATGTAAGGCTTCCCGGCTCATGCTCTTAACAGCTCAGCAGTTTTGACGCGAGCCATAACCATGACTCTGCTAATTTTAAAGCTGACATTTAAAAACATTCTGACCCTGCCCTCAGCACCCTTAAGTCCTTCTCATGCGCACATGCTTACGCCAATGCTTCACCTACGCTGGATTAGCGAGGATCTGGCCGCACTGGAAATACACAGGCCGTCAAATATAGCCCAGACGCAATGCGGGCTCCAGTAATCTTGACCCCGGTCAGGGTGTTTTCCAAGCACAACCTTTCTGCCGCTTCCTCGCTGCATTTCACAACACGGCCTCTTCCAGTCCATAGTTCAGTACAGCTCTCCTCGGTGTGAACCGCACACGGCTCAAGCCAAATTCCTCAGTAAAAGCAGAGTTACTTAATGTGTCTTTCACATGCCAACTGGGACGATGTTTGGCCTGACTGGTGCTGAGCCAAGTCCAGACTGATGACTCTCATCTTCTAGTCTGGCTGTTCTGAGCGTGCAGAAAAAACCCGTTGCTAGGGGAGGCTCAGCTTCCTTCCTGACCCTCCCTGAAGGACTGTCTTGACTAGAGTCATGCACGTTGCCTCACTCTTGGGTTGACTTGGAACCAATGCTCCCTCTAAGCTGCGGAGTCTTGTGAGCAAAAATTCTACTTTGTGAGCTACTGGCATTAAAGTGGTGAGCGAGCGATTTGCCTACTGCATACATTGGTTTGCTCTGGAGCAAAGACAAAAAATGTGTGAGCCGGAGGCTCAAAAACTCAGCTTAGAGGGAACATTGCTTGGAACACTTATGGTTTGAGGGGGACCAAAAAAAGCAAAAGCAAACCCCCACAATGCATCAGGATGTAAGTTATACGAGCACAAGGTGTTTGCCTTCTACTGGGTGCCGGATAGATTACCTTTTATCTAATTAACTAGAATTACCTTAGTTGCAACCTGAGGTGTGCATTTCAGAGGGGTGGGGGCAGGGAATCTCTTCCTGGGAAACCAAAACAGGCAAACAACAGAACGTGGCCAGGAGTGAGGCTGGGAGCAGCCTAAGTTTCTTCTAGCATCCTCAAGTACCCTAATGCTCAAACCTTTTGTGGGAGGGTGTACGCATGCCTGAGGGTGATTAACTTTTTCCCAGTGGCAGAGGGGCCGGGGCTCAGTGGCAGAGCATCTGCTTGGTGTGCAGAAGGTCCCAGGTTCAATCCCCGGCATCTCCAGTTGAAAGGACCAGGCAAGCAGGTGTAATGTGAGAGACCTCTGCCTGAGACCCTGGAGAAGTGCTGCCAGTCTGAGTAGACGCTACTGACTTTGACGGACCAAGGGTCTGCTTCGGTATAAGGGAGCTTCATGTGTTCACTGCCACAGGAAGTGGTGGCAGCTACAAGCATAGACGGCTTCAAGAGGGAATTAGATAAGCATATGGAGCAGAGGTCCATCAGTGGATCTTAGCCACAAGGGATAGATAGGGACTCTGGGGCGAGTGATGCTCTGTCTTCTTGGTGCTTGGGGGGGGGGTGTCAACAGTGGGAGGGCTTCTAATGTCCTGGCCCCACTGGTGGACCTCCTGATGCCACCTGGTATTTCTGGCCACTGTGTGATACAGAGTGTTGGACTGGATGGGCCTTTGGCCTGATCCAACATTGGCATCTCTTACGTTCTTATGTGTTCATGTGATCACCTTCTTCCCATTTCCTGACTTGCAGAGGTCCCTGTATTTTACCCCATGGACCGAACAAACTTCTGTGGAGGACGAGAGAATCCCTAATCACAGCTACACACCCTGGATTTCCTAATTGTTTCTTCTATTCAAGCTGCCCGTTCTGTCCCATGGGGGGTGGGGTAGGGAATGACCAACACCCCATCTCCGGTCTAGTTTCCCAGCAGTTTTAAATGAAGTCTTTCCTTTCCTGTGGCTCAGTGCCTGGAGCAGTGTAACAATCCGAAATTTCATTTATACTCTCTATGTATTTCCCAAAAGAGAAAAGGAGAAAGAATACTTGCGACATCCAAAGTTATATTAGGATTTTGGTCTGAGAGAAGGGGGAACCATCCTGCTTGGATTAGGGTCACAGAAATTCACCAACCATGGTAGACTAAAACGATGTCTTAAGTTATAACATGCCAATAAAATATGAGACGCTGCATCTATTTTAGCAAGGGAGCAGAGTAGGGAAGATGCAAAAAGCGGCCTCTCGTGACCACGTGTTCCCTCTAAGCTGAGTTAGTGTGAGCTAGCTCATAGTTTCTTAGCCTCCGGCTCTCATGCATTCTTGTCTTCGCTCAGGGAGGATGGCTCCAGAGCAAACTAATTTATGCAGTGGCCAAATCGCTCGCTCACAACTTTAGTGACAGCAGCTCACAAAGTAGAATTTTTGCTCACAGGACTCGAGATTAGAAGGAGGGTTGTTCATAAACCCCATTGAACGGGCACTCATTCTGGCAAGAATAAAAGCCCTAAGAAGACCAGGCGAGGTCAGATGATAAGCACGGGAGGGAAGAGAATTAGGGGGAAGTATTCGAATATTTTGTGATGAACAAACTGAGCATAAAGAACAGAACTATTATAATCAATCTGCCTAATCTGTTTTTAAATTGTAATTACTGATTCAGCGAGCCCCAGTTCCTCGATAGATTCTGGAGAAAAAACCAATAGCTGACAATTTCTTGTCCATGATCCTAGGCCATGATGATTTATAAGAATTCTCCTTCAATAAGGCCAGATAGCCATTAACAGAACAAAGGGCACTTTAGGCACAGATTAAATGCCGAGTACACATGCCTGAGCCTCCAGTGGTCGCTGACCAAATTCAGTGCGCAAAGCCATGCCAGCAACACAGTGCGGTGTATTTAACGGCTTTCTAAGGAAGCAAAGAAGTGGGAAATCAATAGCTTCAGTGACTGCCTTAATCCTTATTGCCGCCCCATATAATAGGGATTACCATTAGATTAAAAACTGTAATAGCCCCTGGCACATGTCTCTTTCCCTCTTTCCCTTTATTCGGAAAAAAACCCCTCAAGATACTCCCCAGAATAGGGTTTGATTTTGTTTCTCACAGCTCTTTGGTGCAGAGCCCAGTTTAAATTAGAAGCAAATAAAATTCCAAGATAAGAAAATTCTTTAACTTCTTCTAGTTCACCCACCCCCAATGGACCAACAATATGTTTTAGGGTTCCTTTTTTTTTTTTTAAGTAAAAGCCACTACCTTGGACTTCTGACAGTTTACTGTTGAAGCTTCTTTGCATAAAAACAGTCAGAAAAAAAGCTTTAATGAACTCCGTAAACCAATACGAGTGTGGGATAGCAAGACTGCATCATCTGCATACAGCAAAACAGGAGTACCGTGGTGTGCTAGACGAGGATGAAAGGACAGATCTAGACGACTCGACAGATCATTCAAGTATAAATTAAATAAAAATGGAGCCAATAGGCGACCTTGTCTGACCCCAAATTCAAGGTGGAATTCAGACAATTCACCTTCCCTCACCACAGTGAACCTGGGCAGTAAGACCAATATGCAATCGAAGTCTATGGATTGGGTTGGGCTCGGGCATGTGAACTGTGGATCGCTTCCTCTTTGTTGGCTGATGTTAAACTTACAGTTCCGTGATCTGTGGCCAAATTCTTGTCTACTATAACATCTTTGAGACACTCCCCTGCTAAGTATTAATGTGACCACCTTCTGATTCTACTGCAGGCATAATTTTCCTTTATCATTGTTCTGTCCTTGTTATTGATATTTGTTCTGTGATTTTATTGTCTGGCTCAAGACCTCCAGTCAAAGGAGCTTACTGTTAATCAAGGAAAGGGCTTAGGCACAACAGAAACTTACATGCCTCGCACTGACAACTATTGAGTGTCAGTGCAAAAGCCCTGTTTGTGCCAGAACAAAGCTTCTGGACCCATACGGGTCAGTTTTCCCATCTTCCTTTCTACAGTGATAGTAGCATTTCAGAGTGCTACAACTGAGCTCAAATGCCAGTGTTGCAGATTGTCTGCGAGTTGACTGCCTTAATCCTAAAACACAATAGTGATGTAACCTTTCCAAGCTATGAAAAAAGGCAGTTTTTTCCTCTTCCAGTGGATACAATAGGTCTTTCTTTCCCTTTGCAAAGTCCAAGCACCAACCCAGAGTGCGCTCTGCCCAACAGTCCCACCAGATGTTCTCTGGCCCCAGCAATGGCCATCTTTACCTGAAACATGTTCTCGTCTCTGTTGCTACTTGGTTTGGAGGAAGCGGCGCCTTTGGAGCTTTCACCAGTCTTCTGTTTCTTTACAGGCTTTTCGGGGGGTGCCTGTTTTTTCCGTTTTGCCTTGACGTTTAAAAAAAAAATCAGAATGAGGAATGGGGGGGGGGGACAGAGCTTACAATCTGAAGCCAATTAGTCTCTTTTCCTCACCATGGGGGAGGCGTTCAGTCTGAGCCTGTCTTCGCTACCACTGAAAGCAAACTTGACACAATCGCAAAGGGACACTTGCATAGAGCGGCGCTCTGTTTAATCTAAATATACGCAAGGGCAGAAAATGCAGCTTTGGGGGAAACTATACCAGAGATACCCCCTCCTCTTCTCCAACATTAGCGAGTGGAGGGAAGCTTCAAAAGGACTATGAATACAAAAGGCAACTGGATGTACACACAGACAATGCACTATTTATTTGAAAGGACCATACCCCATAAAGACACACGGTTTTTTTTTTGCCTTCATGAGAAAATCTTTTGATTAGTTTAAAAGGCTCCGTCAAACATTAAGCACTGCCACGTTCACATTATTACATCTCTTTGTTACAGGCACAAAATTCAGTGTTGTTCATCTACAGAGGGCAGGCAGAACCAATTGGCAGCCTTATTAAATTTCCTCACATTTAACCGGGTCGGCTGGCTTCTCTTTTGAGCCTCGCCCATCGACCTACCAAACTGAGCTGCATCACCTTCATTCTTGGTCATGCAAGGTGACTTCACAGACCGGACATCACCTTGGACATTCTGTCTCCAGCACCTGAGAATTCTCTTTCTTTGTTTAGCATGATGAAAATTCTAAATCTTACTGGCAACCAGTACGGGATCCCCAGAGTCAGAATTCGATGTCTGAAGCAATACTTAGCACATCAACACACAAGAGAACGTTTCAGAGGATAATAATGCTGGTCTGCACTAGAACGGCTACATTTCAGGAGCACCAACAAGAGTTTCAGGGTATCAGCTTTCGAGAATCAAACCTCTGGACACCGAACACGGTTATTTGACAAAGGGAGTTTGACTCTCAAAAGCTCACAACCTGAAAACCTTGTTAGACCCTAAAAGGTGCTCCTGGACTCAAACCAAGCTAGACAAGAGAACAACTCTCTTAAACACTTGAAAGGGACACCATTTAGCAAATATTTAAGCTATCTTTAAGCTACCTTTAGCATTTTGGAGAGGCCTGAGCACTGACAATGGTTATAGCAGAGACCAAAAATGTTTTCCCTGGTTTGACCCGTGGACAGACAGAAAGGCCCTTACGTTCTTACAAGGATATATAGATGCACATGTACCTTTCCACCAACTTCTTTGGAGATTAAAGCTGACGGAGAGCCTCGCACCCAAATTGAGCAAATTTCAGCTTTACTGGAGCTCAAAAGCTTCTTACTAGGCATGCCATGTTTTGTGTGTGCGTGTGCGCACAATCAAGTCACAGCCAACTTATGGCAACCCCCATAGGGTTTTCAAGGCCTGAGACTAACACGGGTGGGTTTGCTATTGTCTTCCTCTGTACTCTGTACAGCGACCCTGGAATTCTTCGGTGGTCTCGCATCCAAACGCTAATCAGGGCTGACCCTGCTTAGCTTTCCAAGATCTGACGAGGTCAGGCTAATGCCATTTTGCCATCTGTTTAAACCAGCATTTAACATGGCTTGCTGCACGCTGCCAACCCCGAATACAGCATCCGCGCTGCCGTAAGCTAGGCAGTTACTGCAGAACACCGTCTAGACAGTTCCATGGGAGCCAACATATTGCTTTAACTCTGCTTTTTAAAAAAAAAATTACTTGATGGCGAGCCAAATTCTGAAACGTCTTTGGTCTGCCAGCCTTCCACGTGCTGAGAGGCTACTAAGCACCGCTGCAAAAACCAGGACGTCACAAAGAGATGCACCCGGAAATGAGGGTTATAAGCTTTTACAGCATTGCTACCGTACAATGGATTTCATTACCAATTATCCCTTTGACCAGCTGGGTTTCTGCACAGCATGCGTGTAGTTTTTTTATACACAGACCTTCTGCGGGACTGCACAGATTTTGAGTAGTCACAGGAATGCAAACTGAACAAGCCTGATCAGCACATCAACTCTGCTCCTAAGAGTGTTCGTTACAAATAGTACACAATGTACCTTTGGCAAGAAATCATTTTCCTGACGACTAGGCAACACAACTGTATTGTAATGACTCTATTTACAGGGCTAGCAGTTTAATGGAACATTCCCCCAGCGGGTACATTTATGTCCAATCCACCTCCCCCCCCCCCCCCCGTTGTAGACGCCTAGGTATGGTTTCATCAACGCCTTCGGATAGGTGAACAGAAGAATCTTAAATCGGTCTCTGGATGCTTTAGGCGACCACATTTCCCCCACTGTGTTATTTTGACTGGGCTTTAACATACGTTTGTAACAACACTGTGAGCTTCTAGTAGGTACTCTGAAACGAAGGGATAAACGTTATTTTTGAATTAAATAATCACCTTTTTATCGACTTCGCTGTCTGAATCACTGGCAGAGGAGCTCGAAGACACGAGTTCTTTTGACTTAGGCATTCTGAAAGGAAAAAAGAAGTTGTGGGAAAAAACAGTGAGTGGGGGCTCCAGACCAGAAGAGGAGCTCGCATCATTTTACTCTGCTATTATCTAATCCCTTCTAAAGGAGCTGCGGTGGCTCAAGTGGTTAAGACGCTGAACTGCAGGCTGTGGAAGGTCGGTAGTTCAGCAGTTCGAGACCCGAGTTGCCGCAAGACGGAATGAGCTCCCGTCTCTAGTTCCAGCTCCTGCCAACCTAGCAGTTCGAAAGCAAGAAATTGCAAGTAGATAAATAGGGACCACTTCGGTGGGAAGGGAACAGAGTTCCGTGTGCCTTGGTGTTTAGTCATGCCGGCCACATGACCACGGAAACGTCTTCGGACAGCGCTGGCTCTTCGGCTTGGAAACAGAGATGAGCACCGCAATCCTAGAGTCGGATTCGACTGGCTTTCGAGCAAGGGAACCTTTACCTTTAATCCCTTCTAAAGCTCCCGTCTTAAAAACACCAATATCTGAAGGTCTATCAATGCAATGAGAATCCCAAGTGATTTTTAAGAATCACAATGCCAGACTTGTCACCCCAATGCTGGGCTCACAGGGGGAAGATACAACACTGGTACAAAGCAAATAAAGAATTCCAGTGAAAGCCAATGTGCATGGTTGTCAGAAAGTATGGTTATCTTGCTGTCCTCAAACAGCATTCACATAATTTGTATTACCTTGATTAATGAAGCCAGGGTCCTCAAACTGTGGTTAGGCCTGGCAGCCCACTCTTAATTTCTACTAGCAGGCTGACTGTCCCATCACTCAAAAAAAGCCCATTTGATGGGTAAATAAGACAGGGCCTTTTCAGTGGCAGCCCCAGGATTATGGAACATCCTCCCCGGGGAGGTGTGCTTGCTCCACTCCCTTTTAATCTTTAGGAGATGGCTGAAGATGGTTTTATTTAGGACCACAGTTGATTAAGTTACTACCAGTCCCAAACTGGGATTTTAAATTCTGGGTTTTGTGTGTTTCGTGAATTCTGTTTTACAAAGTTTATCTATATTGTAAGCTGCCTCAAGCTCCATCAGGAAGAAAAGTGGCTAATAAATATTTTAAATAACTCCAATCCCACCCCCCAAATTACATAAAATGATAACTGCCAGACCAGTGGTAGCCAACCTTTTTGCCGAGACCTATTCCAGAGGGGGAGTGCAGGGCCTGGAGAACCACTTCTTGGGGGGGACGGGACACCAGGTCCTTCCTCCATGTGCCCCCTGTTATGTACGCGGACCGCCAGCAGGGGTCCACGGCTACAGGCAGGAGCTTAGCTCCTCAAGACAAAAGGAATGGAGGATCCTAGTTCCCCCAGCACGGACCAATAGGAACTATGGCGGGAAATTCAAACCCCCCCCAATGGGACTGTGGGTGTGCTGGGTGGGTGTGTATATAGTTGGCCTTGCGGGGCCGTTTGTTAGTTCGATGTGAAGTACAATAAACGTGTGCAAACGCATGTCGTCGTCCGAGCCCTCCATGCTGCGAACCCAGGACTTTTCACACACCCTTCCTTGCTGGGGTACCAGTGACACATCATCCTGCCCAGGCCTGAACATCCAGCAGTGCGAGCATCGCTAAGGGACCAGGTGTGGCAGGGGTACAAAGCAGTACAAGGCCAACCCTTGCCACTCAGAAGGGCGGAGGAAGAAGAGAAGAGAAGAGGTGGGGACAGCACGGCGGTGTCCCACTGCAGCTCAAGAGTTCCAGGCTGTTACACAGCCAGATCGATGGGGCCTGAAGGTGCTGCCACCATCCTTCAGTGTGCCTCCCTGGCGCGAGTCAGCTAGTCAAGCACCAGAACACCTCTGCGGCTACAGCCTCATCTCCCGCAGCTGAGACTTACACAACCCTATGGTGGCACATTCCTCTTTCTCTAGCTCAGGGCACGTATGGAAAGACTCCAAAAATGGGCAAAGGTGCAGAGGGAAGCCCGCACAGAGGATGCCTGACGCACATCTGCACTCAAGCCTTGAGGTTGGGCTGACTAGTGCAGCTGGCGCAGACCTGGCTGCTCTTTCCAAACATGCAGGGAAGTGCAGTGAGACCCACCACCATGAGTTGCTCATGGCCAGTAGGTTGGCGACCTCTGTCCTAGAGTTATCAGATCTCGTTTTTAATGGCCTGTTTTTAATGTTGCGGTGTTTTAAGTGTAAGCTGCCTTTACGGAGGGCACAGGAAAAGCCCAAATAAAATAAATACTGATGTGCTACTAAAAAGAAAACTTCTTTAAACGTGAAGAACAAAAGACGCTGGCTTCAAGTGCTACCTCCAGTCTTATTTAAATGAAACATGATATGATTTATAGTTTTAGACCGGTTTTGTAATTTGACCTGTTTGTCTCTTCAAAAAACTTTTTGCCAACATATACATAATTTTTACAACAAGCTCAGACTGGCTAACATGTACGTTTTCTGGTTAATTAAATATATTTCACAAAAAGAAGAGGAGGAGGAAGAGGAGGAGGAGACTGGATTTATACCACACTTTTCACTTCTCGGAGTCTCAAAGTGCCTTACAATCTCTTTTCCCTTCCCCTCCCCTCCCCACAACAGACACCCTGTGAGACAGGTGGGGTTGAGAGAGCTCTCCCAAGGACTGCGCTTGAGAGAACAGCTCTGAGAGAACTTATAACTGACCCAAGGTCACACCAGCAGCTACAAGTGGAGGAGTGGGGAATCAAACCTAGTTCTCGCAGATTAGAGTCTAATGGGGCAACCCATAACTTCTTTACACTCAAGGGTTTTGTTCACACCACAAAGAATACAGGGTGTATAGTGTTTAAGCTTTTGATCCACTTTTAAAAGAGAGGGTACAATGCTTGCCTTAAATTCCTGTCCAAAAGTTTATTATGAAGAGGACATGTTTTCCGAGAACACTGGGTTCTGTGGCACTTAAAGACTAACCTTCTGGCAGCAAGAGTTCGGAGTACAGTCCACTTTTTCAAATCTCTTTTTTTGGAGATAAAGGGAGGGGTCACAGCTGAAGTGTAGCACACCAGTTCTGCACACAAGCCTCCACGTTCAGAGGCCAACATGTCCCAGTGGAACGAGCTCCCAGAGGAGCTCAGGGCCCTGCGGGACCTTTTGCAGTTCCGCAGGGCCTGTAAGACGGAGCTCTTCCACCAGGCATTTAAGTAGGGGCCGCCGCTACTGCAGGCCCCTACTGCAGGCCATTACTGCAGAGCTTGGTCTGTGGTTTTAACATCTGATTATGAGCAGAAACATCGTGGTACATCTGGGCAGTGGAAATTTATTCACTTATTATTACAATATGCTCTGGAGAGTGTTCATAACAACGGCTGTGTCTTGTAACAGGTGATTACGCTATCAGCCCTAAGACTGGTCTATACGGACACCAAGTCAATTTTTAAAATATCCCTAGACAGATCGTTACAGGCAAGTGACGCCAAAGTGGCTAGCTTTTTAAAGGCAGTGAGCTTATTAGAGGCCTCTACAAAGACGAAACTATTTCTAATAGTGAAAGAGCTGTAAACAGAACTCCCAATACAGCCACCAAAACACCTCTTTTTAAAAGGTGTGTATGACAGATGGCATATTCTTATCTCAGGAGAAATATATGGTATGCAGAGTAAACAATTGTCTCCCTATTTCAATGTAACGGGATGGATCCCATGGAAAAGACCCATATATGTAAGGGAGAGGCAACCATTATTGCTGATTCATCCCTTTTGAAGCAACCCTTCAACTCCCCCCCACCCGTGTGCTTCTTCTAGGGCTATCCATCCTTAAGAGCAAGAGGGGGGGGCATTTCAGGCTCCAACCGGGTCACACTTCTGTGCATAGGACGGGTTCCAAACCACTGGCTGCCCAATGGAGACCCCCTTTATCTTTGATGACTTTCCACAGAAGGAAAGCTCGATTATCAGACCAGGGTTTAAAAAACATATCCGTTTAGGAGGAAAGGAGCGAAGCTCTAAGAAATGGAGCTTCTTAAGGCAACAAACTACCTGGAAAGCAGAACCTGAAGACTGTTTGAAATGGGGGGAATCTATTGCAAAATGTTTTAAGTCAAAAAGCTTCTCTAAAAACCCCTGCAGCATCCTTCCTCTGCAGAACCAGCTAAAACAGCCAGTATCCCTGGCAGCCCCCCAAACACACTGCCAATAACCTGGGTGGCCACAATGGCCAGCTTCACCCTCCTAGGAGATTGGGGAGAAGATGGGAGGAGCACCTTTCCCCAGGCATGGCCTGCCACGGAAGGGCCCTGCCCACCAACTTCACATACAAGGGGAGGTGCCAGGAAAAACTTCAAAGGACACTGGAGACGCCAACCTCAAGAGACACTTGCCAGGACAAAAAAAACACCTTACCACTGGCAAGCGGTCAAGTGCTTTTGCAGAACACTGAAATCACAGGTGTCAAACACAAACAGCCGAAAGCATATAAGAAGGTACAATCTCTATCCAACGTAGGTATTTTGGAGCCAACACAATAGAGCTTGTTAAAACCTCTGGCTGATAGCCTAAATGGATCTTCAGCACTCAGATCATGTTGTAAAAAGGGAGAACAAATAAAGTTAAGTTGCTTGGCCTTTACCTAGGGGAACCAGGTTTCTTTTGACCTTTAGAAATGATGGAACGAGTGAACGATTACATTAAGAAAAAAATGTGTGCTCTTCAAAGCAGAGAGACAGCTTCTGCATTCTCAAAGGCTCCTCTATTCATCAGGCAGAGCAGTGCAAACTGAAGCAATCCCCCCCCTTGCATTTCCCCCCCCTTGCATTTCCCAGAAGTTGCTGCCAATCACCTGGGCAGTGAGGTGAGGTCAGTGCAGACGGTTGCCTGGGCAACCAATAACAGCTGGGGACTGAAATTTCACTTTCAGCCCTAAACCTCCAATCACCTAGGTGACCAGCAGTGGCTTTGGAATAGAAGTCCCCACACAGCTGAGGGGAACTGTGAAAAGTTTGTCCTAGGTCCCTATTTCCCCTTGGGGTGGCCAGGTCTCCAGGCAATGGGTGACCGAGTGGAAATGTATTGGAAATGTATTGGAAATGTATTGCGTGGCACTGGCTGATCCAGACCCTTTAGCAAAGCTGGAGTTATCTAGCCACAGGAGTTTCATGTTTATGTACACATGCACTCAGGCAAAGCCAGGATGTTCAGACCAACCCCCAAAGAAATAGAACGCACCACTTTTGAAAAAACGTTCTTTTCTTCATGAATAGATAAGCAGGCAAACAATGTACACATCTCAACTGCACTTTGTCAGGGCTGCAAGTGGCTGTATTTTTTTTTAAAAAAAGAAACACCTGCAGGCTTCCAACTGACTATTTCTGCTCTAGAGTAATGCTGCTTTCACTACATTTAATAAACATCAGGACTACTTCTCGCTTCAGAAGACACGGATTTATCTGCAGTTCCATCTTCTGAAAAGCGGGGGGGGGGGGGGGACCGCCTGCCAGGTTAAGTGTAAGGAAGCAATCTTCCAAGTCCACAAAATGTCTCTCCAGATGGAGAACTGCCGTCTCCTCTTATTGTGACATTCCCACATTAGATCTGGGACAGACACACAGGTTTTAACAAAACACTAGAAAACAGCCCCAGGATGCTTTATTCAGGTGATGAAAGGAAGACAATAAAGAACACCTGAATAAGTGTTGAATAAGCTGAATGAGTAAATGTATGGCAAATGGGTTACAGAAAAGGAGGCTTTGTGGGCATGAATGGGTGGGATCTTATGGCTGGAAATACTGGAATCAAATGATGGAAAGACGAGAGAAAGACAGAGAGAGGCAGAGACAAGCAAAGCAATACAGAAGAAACATAGTGGGAATATCACCGAGGGTAATTTTGAAAGAGTCAAACTAATGCTCAGAAACAGCAAGGTTAACAGTAGGAACATGCTAATAAAGCAGGCCACCAAGTGGCAAGATTGTTAATACACAGATAAGAATACTTGGAAACAGAGATGCCAGATAGCATCTGTTACATTGTGCGTGCCTGCAAAACATACAGCCCAAAGGCTAACGGGGGGTTCTTTTGTAGCTATCTGCAGCCCAACCAGGGCAGCTCCAAATACCCACCGTCTGTGGTTTTCTACCTCCTCTTTTTTGGGAATACCTACGGCCCCTCCAACAAAAACTGAGCATGGGAGAGGGCCTGCACTGTTCCTTTAATTCAAAGGCACATGGTACAAACAGCAGTTCTTTTTAATCTTATGTAGGCAGGCAGCTAGGCTCCACAGCCCTCTGATATCCAAGACTCCTTCACTGGTGTGAACTGCTGGGAGAATGAAATAACTCTGGAACAGAAATGAAAGTGGTTTGCAGAAAGTAGTTCAGAGTCCTGCAGGGGTCTTTAAAAAGGGGGTCTTAACCAAGAATGGGCTTTGACTGAGAATATATCGGGTTAAACACATGAGGCCAACATGTTTCCACGGTTAATACAACAATGCAGCCTTGTCCATTTAGTAAAACACACGAATGTCCCAAAAAGCACATCTCCAGCTGTATGAGGAACGGTCAGGACAGCAAGAACAATCTTTTTTGCCAAATGTGCCACAAAGACAAGCCCCAAGTATTCAAAGGGGCCACACTATGCACCAGCACATCACCCCCACGACTCAGTGTGGGTTTTGCCTCCGGGCCACAGAACTGAGAGGCAGCCAGGGTGCACAGAGCAGGAAACACCAGCAGGAAACATGAGGCCCGACTTCGCTACAGCAAGGCTTGCCGGCCATCTTGCTATCATCCAGCCACGCCATAAAGACTGTGGGGCTTGTGACCTCTGTGGCACCCATCTGGCGGGGAGGGGGGGGGAGCACACAAGCAAGCTTGGAACAAGAAGGTGAGGGGGCTGCAATGCATAAAACACTGGGGGG